CTCATATCATTGCACATATCATGAGGCGTTGTTCTTGGGTTTGCAATTGCTGAGTGACTCGGAGCGGTGCCTAGTGGGGTTTTATACTCATTTCACAGCGGTGGTTGGTTTGATTGCTGCCACGCTTATTGAGATCTCAATACTCTTAATTCAATCTTTGTGAAACTAGAAGTGATCTTGTATTCCTTCTGTAGAATATGAACGTGTATAAAATGATTTAACAATCCTTATTTTATTCTCGTCAAGATGAGCACATGACAAAAACCATGCCCCCAAGAACTATGGGGTCTGGTCAAGCAAAGCTTTCCAGCTTCCCCTTCATCTTCCCGCACAATCAACCCATAAATCATCTCGTCATTCACGACACAAGAAAAAAACTTCAACCTCCCTTCTACTTTATTTCCCAACACAAAGAGATTACTCAATCAAGATCATCTCTTCAATCATGAAGGTTTCCATATCTCCTTAGTCCTCAGCACTCTAGCCACCACCATCCACGCAGGCTGCTACTCCAGCGGCACCAACGGCGATAAATTGAGTGCCGAAGACTCCTTTTGAACTACTCCTAAGAATCTCCAGGGGAGAGACTTGTTCTACAAAAATGAGTCCAGGTCTACCCCTCCAGTCCACCCACAATCTGTTGTATCTGAAGAACATCAGTCAACAGGCACCAAAAACGGTACTGAGAGAACTAACCAAGATTATACTGTTTTCCAACTGCTGAGGTCCAACCACCCATGAAAGTAGTCACCGTATCCACACCTGGTACGAAGTCCTGCTGAACAGCCCAGAGAGGAAGCTGAGATCCGACATCTGTTGATCTGGATGCGAACATCCCATCCCATTGATTCCTACAATTTGTCAGAGCTTTCAAACTCTTAGAATTCCTCGGAAGAAGTCAAAATACTTACCCATTTGCATAAATCCCCCATGGTCTTCCACTGTTCTGGAGCGCAGCAACCCATTGTTTTGCCAAGGCCTCGTTGGCAGTTTCCCCCAAATTCCATGCGTTACACTCACCACCTGGCGTCGGTTCAAGATCAAACCAGTACCGATCAATAGTCATCCCGTTGCTGTCTACTGTTGCGAATAACTCCTCTATCTGAGTAGCAGGAGGTTTGCAAGCCACACCATTATCCTGAGTACCAGTGCAAGGGAAGAGATATGTATCAATTCGAGGAATCCCCGCTGCTTTGGCTGCGCGGTAGTTTGCAACAAAGTTTCTGTTGACTAACCCGCCCTAGAATCTGTTAGCATTGATCGTATATTTGAGTTGTAAAGTCATACAACTGAACATCCCTGGATGTACCCTTGGATGACAACAACCTGCCACTTCGAAGCAGCACAGCTCCAAAATGAAGCAGGTGCCAAATCTGAGATATCGACTCCAGGTAATCCTGTTCCTGGAGAAGGTGGCCCAGTTGTACCTCCACTGACACAGCATTGGACATCGTTCGGTCCGGGACAAGCACCCGACAAGTATTTTCCTTCGCAAGGACTTCCGGTCCACTGACAAACACCGTCGCCACTTTGGGTTGAGCAAGTTGCTAAGCAGCATTGGATATTATCAGCCCCAGGGCAGTGAGCTTCAGGGTTGTATGCTCCTCCAGAACAAGTGTTTGACGTGCTTTGGCAGAACCCAGTCTTCTCGTCCTATGAACAGGTGCGTACGCAGCATTGGATATCGTTGCCTCCAGGACAGAAACCTGCTACGTTTGTTCCTGCACATGATGATGTTGAGATACAAGTCCCATTGCCACTCTGCTTTCTGTTAGTTAGTACTCTGTAATGAAAAGGAAAGGGCTGGGCGTGTACTTGATATTGGCAACTAGCCGCACGTGGTTGAAGTGAAGAGGGCGTGGATGATGCGAGGTTAGCTGCCAAAGCAACAAGAGAGAGGGCTTTCTGGCAGTGCATTGTTGCGTTTGCCTTATTTCTTGAGCGGTAACTATGTTTGAGAATCTTTGAATCCGATATCAGGCGTGATTTGGACTTCTTATAAAGTCTACTTTAGACTTGCATGCATACTGCACTTTCTTCAGGATGTAAGATATGTCGAGGCTCAAAGTAAGTATCCGAACTTAGTGTACCTATCATCTGTAAATGATGCGTTATTCTGTTCTGAGAGGTAATTCTATTTCTGAAATCCATGTCCACAAATCCCTGAGATGACAAGGTCGCATCGTCACAGCGACCACCACTCAGCCAATGATCAGACTACTATCCAGTGCTCCCAGGGTATACACGGAGCACTGCATCTCTGAATTTTCAGCTCGCTTCCAGGGGCTTCATCACCCGAAAGCCCTGTAGGCAGGGCTGGTCGCGGGGTAAATGTTACCCCGCGTTTTGGGCTTAGTCGCAGCATATTATCCAACACAACCTTTTCCAGCATTCTATTCTAAGAAGCAAGTCAATTGCTCTTACTCGTAGATCCAATTCCTGTTTCTTGATCGCCGTTGGCAAGGTTTACTCACAAATGCAAGAATGCAGGTCAATCCTTCATCCGATACTCTCATGTTGTGTGACGTCTGTCAATCAATCCTTCGACAGAACCTCTTTTTATCCACCGGGTCATATATTTTACGCCGGAAGAGGCAAAAGAATCGTCCAAATTTTCGGAGCTAGGCGTTCTCCATATGTGGAAGTGGGTGTCATCGACAAATGAGAACTTTCTTGCAGCTACGTGGAATTGCAGGATATGAGAAACTTTAAACTTCCTTCTTCCTACTCTTCTGCCCCAATGGACTCGCCACATAATCATCAAGCCCACGTCTGCCTTATCGCTTCGACGATTTATTCTCATAGTTCATTGGAATTTCTTTGCTTAGCTAAAGAGGGAAGATAATTCTGTTATTCTATAGTGTTCATGCGAGGCTCCCAAAATGAGCTCTTCTTCACACGAAAATCAACAGAAAAGGCTAGATTCAAGTTGATGATTGCATCAAGGAAAAAGTTTTTCCTCCAATCCACACATGACTACCTTTTCTAATGTATTTGAGACACACCTTCGATGAGCGAGGGATGGCGAAACGTATGTCCTTTGTCGCAAGTGGTTTTAACCTGATAAACACAAGAACATCGCGCCTTTGAAAAGTCTCTTACGAGTGGCCACCAGTCAGTGTTATGTCTTATACAATAAGAATCTTAAGGGAAGAAACGTTGGGTAAGAAGCCATTGCTACGCAAAAAGTACTGTTGCTGACGATTAATGAGGATACTCAACCCCGGCCTTAATTATTAAGAGCCGGAGCCGAGGGAGCCATATCAAAACAAACACAAAAACTAACTAACTGCATCTCGCGTAAAAGAAATTCGCTTGAAACACAACTATAATAAATGAACAAAAAAAGATTAACAGAGAAAAAAGCCAAAAGAACATCCCGCACAAGGTGCGGTAGAAAGAAAACCTCTCTACGAGGATTTACTTTTCGTAAGCGGGATTGGCGATTTATATCGTCGGGCGCCGGGGAGGATCGTGGTATGCGGGATTGGCGATTTTTACCGTCGGGCGCCGGCTGGAGATTGTTAGTAATTGATCAAATTGAATTGAGCAGTGGTTACTTACGATGGACGTATGCGGGAGTGGTGTACTGGATATTCCCTTTCTTGGTTATATGAACATGGCAGAATTTTGTACGCCATCAAGGAATTCAGGGTGCGTCGGTGCATTGTTTGCACGCTGCCCGAAGACCTCAAATCTCGAGACGCAACATATGAGAAGGATCGTGGTCCTGATATCTCCCAACTTTGTAGCAAGCTCTCTCGGAGACCTTTTTTAATGTACGTCGAAGGCTGGCAAACCTCGAGCTATTGCAGTGGATCTCGAACCAGCTCCTATGAAGAGGGTGTTGGATTACTTGGACACCGAAACCTACAAGCATAGCGCTGATCCCAAGCCAGCAGCTGTAAAACTGCCTGCGATTAAAAATTTCAAGGAGAGTGTTTGGTTACTCATTCCTAGGCATTAATAGGCAAAACTGAAATAGCAGTCATTTCCTCGGTTGACAACTGAGCCCGTATTCCAAGGAGGCTTTTTCTTTTCTTTTTTTCTTTTTAGCAAATGAAGAAGCTGAACAATCTTATCCTTAACCAGTTGCCCACGGAAGGAAAGAAACAGGCACCCCAAGCAGATGGGTAATATTTTCAGCACTGTCTAGTCCCTGTGAGAGAGCGTTGTGCAACCTCCGGTGCATTGATGCGCCCTCCTCAAAGTCGGCAGTAAATCTGCCATAGTTTGAGAGACAGTAGGTTTATTTTAAATGCCAATGGAGGTCTAGGCAGTCACACATGGGAGTCAGATTAATTGGTTTTATCCAATTGTTCGACGGAGATGCTCATGTTTGGCATGCTCAGGCAGGAGAAACGAACATGTCCACCAACACAGCAGACTTGCGGTTGACTTCGAAACACATTAGTGGCATCTTAAAAATCTATTAGCTCATGGAAATAGTCCTCTAACGTAGGCCCGTTTCTCTTACTCTGGGCCCCTTGAGTAATTTAGCAGTGGAGTAAACATCGCTTCTCGCTTAAAAAGGGGTTCACGTCACGTGGAGTGGGGTAACTTTCCCCAGTGGTTGAAAAGAACACAGCAGGTTCAGTATATCTCGAGCACTCAGAGGTAGAAATTCTGTTTACCAAATAATACTTTGGCTTAAGGTATATCGAGCCAAGAGTATTTGTTGATTGAAGAATCTAAGCTGGGTGGTTAATGTCGTCGAACTCTCAAGCATTCAAGAATTGCCCTGTGTTGAAACATCTTGTTTTTCGGACTTCAACGACACTTTAAGTTCAGTATCTCAAATACAGGTTCAAAATTGTATTTCCTTAGCCAAGATGACGTAACTAAGTTCGAGTCAAAAATTTAAAGGGAAGAAGAGTGAACAGTGTAACAGTGTTCCCAAGGTGGGGTCTCCTCGCTAAGCCCCGAAAATTTCTCCAGCCTATGAAAAAAGCAAAAAATACGTGATCTTATATCTGAATTTTATATTCAGGGACAATGAGCTCTCTGACGGGGAGTCGAACCCCGATCTCCCGCGGTTTGTCATGAATGACAAGCGGAAATCTTGACCGTTGGACCATCAAAGATGTGCTTTCTGTGAAGATGTATGGGAGTTGCTTAATAGGGCTTACGTAGCTGACAGAAATTTCTACCGGGATCGTGAAAAAGTGAGGTGGAGAAATGGCTTTGCCGGAGGATTTTTCAATGAGCTCCACTTCTACTGTATAGTCTGCAAACTCTGATCAGGAAAGGTGTTTCGCTCCGAGTTTTGGTCGAAGAGCCATTGAAAGGTTTGATGCTATTTCCTGCTTCGATTAGACCGTTCCTTCTCTTCAATTGGCCATAAATCATTTTCATATTCCTATTCTACAACTAAAAAGCCATTATAAACTTAAATTGAGCATACCGGCGTATTTTGGCTAGACATCTGCTGCATTCTTCAACAGGCCCTACATTGTTTGCCTCCGAACTCAACACCTTTCTATCCATGGCCATTGCCACCGTTGACAACTTTTCCAGCTCTTCCAGGTCAACTATTATAAGTACACTCTTTCAATAGTTGAGAACATGCAACAAGAATCTATCTCTGGTACAACGATTTCATGAGGAGCGACCAGCTAACTGGTTGAGTCCTGATCCCCATATCGCAACGTCCCATTTCTTGTTCACACACGGCCAGGTAAATATCTTGCACTAGGAATTTTTCACAAAATATGCATTAGCAAGTCAGGTCTCATGTCACTCTTCCCAGTGAGATGAGAGAGTCAGCAATGACAACAATCAAAGCCTTGACAACATCCCTTAACTTCCTGCTTCTCCCCCGTGCCTCCTGCTCTCTAATATTTCCACAGCAAAAAACTTACAATATCTCTAACACATATCACATCCGAAGTCACTTCAATCACACGAGAAAGAAAACCCCCCATAAACAGCAAAGCGACTCCATTTTTGAACCGTTCTCATTCCTCGAGAGTATATCCTTCGAGCGAAGGAAGAAAGAAAACACAATAGCGATATTCCACTACATACAAGTCACCTACGCTTTACTCACTCTCAAACGTCTCTATATTCACTGAACGGTAGGTAGGTAACGTTTACAGAGAAAGAAACAAAACAATTCACATTTACCGGCTAGCAGGCGCCATTCTGCCTTCAGTCCTCCATCATCCCGCTCTTGTCGTGCTGTCTGGAGGTGTTATGCAGAGCCATAAGTAGACCCCGTGTGGCTTCAAGTCTGGCCATCAGAAACATCAAAAGAGTTTCGCAACCATGGATAGTGTGTGACCTTTTCATCCTCCTAGGTACGTACCTCGCAGCGTCTACAACATTCACCTAGAATATTCAAGGGTAACAGACATCCCTTGCCTCGTTCTGAACAACTGAATGGCATCACGCAAAATTTATCTAGATGCGACAAAGAAACCGAGGCTAGGGACAGCAATCATTCATTCGATAACAACCCCTCAATTGGCAGTAGTTTCACCCAAAGATTTCTAACTTCTGGCCTCAAGTTCCCCGTTCATCAGTTTCACTCTTCAGGCCGAGCAGTAAGGAGTAGAACTAATCGCATCAGAAGGTGTAACTAGAATTTTATCTTATTGTTTTTCATGTAAAGCATGATGGATGATGGCCTTCCTTGTAGATGTAACAATTGGAATGAGCAGACCGATGAGCTGAGGGAGCAATATATGTACCCTACCTCGACCAAGTGGAGGTGACTCGTTAAGAGGAGGAGAGGCGGTTACCTAGGTAGTCAACTGTAGGAATGTAGGAATGTAATGAGGTCTCGGTTCCTCAATGCGAGTTTGTTGTCGTTCGCTTGACTACCCTGCTGGCAGCCCAGCTCCTCGGTGTTGAATAATCTCTGCCAACATAGCATGGTCAAAGCCTCCCATCTACCACTCAGTTACAGATGATATATATATATATATACATATACATATCCAGGATTACAAAGGCCATAAGGAAATATTCGACGCGCCAGTCACTCTGGGGCACTGCTCTTCAGTCATACTCCGCTTCTTAATCTCTCGCCCATCCAAATTTGTTTCACTCCACAGTAGCCCGTTATGCACATGGCATTCTAACCGTTGAACCCAGGTACACAAATAAAAAAAATACCAAAGTGCTGGAAGAAAACAACGACCTACCCGCCCAACAACGGCAACAAATAGATGATTGGCAGCAACCCGACCCTGCCCCGGTCCCATCTCCGCTGTTGCCTTTGAATCATGTGAAGCACGAAAAACCACAAGCCACAGGTTTTTGCATATACTCCATAAATACCAGCTCAGACTCAACTCTTCAAGACGTATATCTATTAACCAAGCAGAATAGCACAAATCCTTCGAGGGCAAGCAGACCAGAAAAATTCGAGGTACCGATCCATCAAGTGAAGAACAATCGGCCTTTATATATATCATCAGTACCGAGTCTTTCAGCGCCAAATGCACATTTAGCATAGATACTTCTCAATTCTCATTTCATTGTCACATTGGAGGGTCGGGAAATCACCTTCTTGTAACGCGCCTTGAATTCACTTGACACTCAAAACACTTGCTCCATCCACTCTACCCCCGCTTTGCGTTCCCGGCTCCTTTCCCCTCTCTAGCTAGCTAGCTCAGAATACCCTCTACCAACCCCATTGCTTGAAGTATAGAACCGCCCCATCTCCACTCTAACAACTAACACCATAAACAAAGCAGATTTCAACAGAAGTTTTGAGAGAATGACCGTATGCTGGCCGCAGGCCTACCACACCCACCCCCAAGTCGAAGCTGTACGGGAGGGACTTTGTTTGTGCATCCCTCTCTTTCGCGGACGATTATATCTAACTGCTCTTTATGATCGATCCTCCTTTTTATATCTTTCGGTTTTACACTACACTCTTTCTTCCTTTTTGAGAATGGGTAGGTAGATAGATGACAAGAAACAGGTACCGTAAGTGACAGCGACAATCTCAAACGACAACATCACAATCCTACCCACCCAGCCACCTACCCCCCAACAACATAACATAACATCAACTCTCCCACCTCCACACCATATCCTTTTCACACATCAACCACCACTTCAAATCACAACAATAATTACAATAATTACAATTACGGCACAGCACAGCACAGCACACAAAACACACCAACACCAAAACCCACACTTCCAGAACCCCTCCTCCCTCCCTCCTCTTCTCCCCTTCCCTCTGGGGACTGGGTTAGTCAGTGTTCGGCAAGGATCATCCGATGAAGGAGAAAGAAGAAAGAAGAAACGTGGAAAGAGGGAAGGAGGGGCTATGTATATGTATATACCTCTAGTCAATACACCGACCGAACTACTTATCCTCCATCCAAACCTACCCTTCTTCCCTCAAACCCCTCACAGCAAAGAGAGAAAATCATTTCCCCTCTTACAGTATACCTCGAACCATTTGATATCAAATACCAAAATATCCAAGTAATCAAAAAAAAAAACATCGGAAGTCAAGTCAACGTAAACTTTGTTTTTCAAATCCAAAAAAGTAAATATCCCATTTTTTATCTTATTTATACACAAAAGCTTTCCTTTCCAAAATGCTTTCCTTCCCCCTCTCTGTTTCCCCACTTTACTCTCTTTCTCTCTCTCTCTCGCTCTTATATTTCGCTTCTATCCTATACCAAACAGACAGACAAAAGACACACATGCTCGATCCGCTCTTCTTCTATTAAGAAAATAGAGAGCACGGTGCCATGCAACTTTCCTCTCCACACCACCGAAACACTAAATAAAAGAAATATGCATGCATGTATATGCCTTCCTCCTCTCGGTCTCAACCTCCAGAAAACGACAAACAGAAGTAACAGCAGCGAATAACAAGAAAAACCAAATCATATTTGTCATCCTCATCCATACCATCCAAAAACAAAACCAACCACCCCTCAAACAAGTACCCTAGAACACACCACAAGAATCCAACCCAAACCCAAAAAGACCAGCCGGCCCGGCCAGCCACGCTAGTATCATAACCTCATGAAAGAACCCCAGTATCTCCCGAACCACCATCCAGCCAGCCCTATCTTCCCTACATGCCATGCCACGCCAACAAAAGAAATGGCAAGAAGCTGCGACCCCAATCCATGATCTTAAAATCAGGACCCGAGAGATGTGCAATGAGAATAAACACAAGCGCAAGGCTATGCAATAAAACGAAGAAGAATTCCATACAAGAAAAGTTTGTACGAAAACAATGATCTATTTTCCCCAAAAAGACCGTTGCACCAAACGAAGCGAAGCACAAATCAAATCTCACAAAGAGAACAGTCGAGGTGATGTTATATCGGTTGCTGCATCATCTGGTGGGAGATGAGTTGACTGGGAGCAGCCATGCCAGAATTCGACATTGGCATGGACATTCCCATTTGTGCGTGCATGCTACCGAAACTTTGGCTCATGCTTGTTGGGAGGTATCCGTTCTCGGAATTGGGGGAGGCTTCTTCGAGGGAACCAAGGTGGTCTTCGCCTTCATAGTCTTCTTCTTCGCCAGAGTAGCTGCCGTATGGACCTTCAGAGCCATCACTGCGGTCGTGGGTACGACGATGTCTGAGAAGCGAATGTTAGTAAGCTGTGGTTAAGGAGGGGGTATCATGTGTAGTGATGTGTATTGTAAAGGACGTACTGTGCTAGGTTGTCTGATCGGGAGAATGCCTTGTTACAATGGGGGCAGATGTAGGGTCTTTCTTGGGTATGTGTTCTCACGTGTCTGGAGGGGAGTTTGTCAGCGGCCTGATGTGACAGCCGGTCCGTAAATAATGAAAAAATGTAAACCATACCTTTTGAGATGCTCTAAACGCTTGAAGAGACGACCGCAGGTGGGGATTGGGCAAGAGTGAGACTTTTGAGGATAGGGGCCAAGTTCCATCATGGTGGCACTCCGAGCTCTTCGGACGACACCATTTGGTCCTTGCAATTGTCTTCTTTGGGGGGAATCATGAATTGAACCTTCACCTGAAAGCTCTTCATTGGACAAGTGACCGTAGTCGTTGTGTTGGAGAGCCATCGGGTTCATGGCGGGGCTATCTTCGACAGTGGAGAGTGGAGTTCCATGTCTCGACAT